TGTTACAATTATTTCAAAATAGAAAAGCATAGCTACACTTGAATTGATTAAATAATTTCAGCTAGTCCAAATGATTCAATATTAGCCAATATTAGAAAATATTTAAAAACATTTATACTAGTGTTTCAATTCAGAAAATTGTATTTATATAATATATACATCAAGTCAAAACATTGGAGTGAAAAAAGAACATTAGTAGCCAATATTTAGTCTAGATCTGTTACATTACTGCCAGTGTTTCCAAAATATGTAAATCATTACAGTATGATTTATTTATGGGCAAAGTTCAAAGTCATGACAAGTATCAAAATATTAGGTGAGAAAACATCCTATTTCTCTTTAACATATGTTGAAATACTTAACCATACTTAGCACACCTACTAATATTAATGAGGCAAACCTTGAGGGTAGAATTAAAGAAGGATTACAGGTGATAGGGTCAGTCTATTATAATAATATAGGTATGATAGGTGGTCTCTATAACAGGTGTGTGATATCAACCAGGTATAGATAGATAGATGGGGTATGTAAGATAAAAGAGATACATTAGTCAGAAGTATTTATCTGATCTTTGGTTTATTTTGAGTTCATTTCTTGACATTAGTACACAGGGACTACACTTGTTAACTATAAATATATGTAACAGGCCAACTTTTACTTATTAAGGGAGCAGTATTGGCATTCGCTTAGAAACCACCTCACTTATGCTGGGAATTTTGAGTCCTATATTGGAAAGTGTTGTTCGTGAAATCTGATGAAAAAACATACTCTCCTTAGAGATGAAAAAAAAACTATTTCCAAAATCTTTTATATTTTTGCTGTAGACATGAGCAGGCCGCAAGTACATTTTCAAGCAATTTAAAATTTGACACGATCGGGCGAAAAAATACTCTCATATGACACCTACATTTTTCAGTTCTATAAATAAAAATATACATGAAGATAAGAAAGGGCTTTTACACATTAAAGATCAAAGAAAGGTTCAGTAAGACACTCTTGATTTCTTTAACAATCCATTTCTAACATTTAAATTTTCTGAATATGAGTGCTGGAAGAAGATTTGATGTGCTAATTATAAAGACTTGTGTTTCAGGTAATGCTCAGATCTTACAGTATGATCGTGAACCTGGACGTTACAATCTTGTAAGTTTTTCAACCAATCAGCATGAACTGTTGCTGATCGTGGAATTTGCTGTTAACTAACCTACTGAAGTGCTAATTAGAATAGCTTTTGGTCAATGGAAACAAAATTGTCCGATTGCACTGCTGATTCTTTGGTTTTTCTTTGGACTTTCTGAATTGAAATTTAAGATCGTGGCGGTTTAATACAACATTACCAAAATTCGTTAATTGATCAAACAAAATTCCATTGAGTGATAGCTAATCCAAGAAGCACAAATATACTAACTCTGTTGTGTTAAGAATGAATTTTACAATATGTGTTGGTATTTTTGATATGCTTACAGAAATGATAGTAGTAAATGGAATAGGCGAGTCTGTTTCTGATGCGGCCATACGAGAATTATCAGATCGTTCCAAAAGACCCCGAACACCAGCAAAAACTAGCACATTAGTCATCACAGGGGTCAAAAGGGTAAGAAAACGGTCCCAGTCCTTACTTTCACTGAATCTCTCTCAAAGATCAAGGTCAAGGTCACGGTCTGCAGCATCCTTGACTTCCTCCATTGACGACCTCTCAGGGTCATTTTTCGAAGTTAATGGTAATGCTTCCAATGACCTATCTGATGAATATCTAGCTAATACCTTACGACGTCATCTGTCACACGAATGCTTAGTCCCGCTTGAAGCAGTAAAAGTTTCTATTTCAACAAAGGAACTTGATAAGCTTGAAACTGATGTGTAACATTTTAGTGCTAAAAGTCAATTTGATGAAAAATTGTAGGGTGCTCTGTATATAAGCCAAAATGTGAACAAAAAATTGAAGATCTAGAGTGAGAAATTTATTGCAGAACTTGGATTTAAAAGTTCTGAACTATTTGATTGGCTTTTTACTTAAAATAATTAATTTTAATAGTTTGAGATTGAAGTCATATTATGCCTTATCTGTAGTCCCAATATTTGCATGTGATATGGCTTGCCATAAATGTTTTGTGCTGAAAAAGATATCTAGGTTTTAAGGCCTTAGAAAAGTTAGAAGGGGATATTTCATGAGCCAATCATAAACACATGGAAAGGTTTGAAGAAAAAGATTAAAGAAATATTGTGTTGGATTGTAATATTGGGTTATGTCATTGTAATTTCTTGTTCCTTTTTAGTAAACTAAGCATTCACATAATGCATGAAATCATTCAAACTAATAAAAAGTACAATGCGAATTTTTCGCACTGATCATTCTGTGAATTCATCATTTTCATCACAGCTGAATTTCTCAACAAAAGCAAAAAACTGTTTAACTGCTATGAATGTTAATAAAAAATAAATCAAAAAAGCAAATTAATTCATTTGGCCAATTCATACAGAAAATTGCAAACCAACAGAAATTTCAGATATACTTATGTCTATGAGGGCAAATCAATGAATTTTTGTGCGTACAGATATGATTTCATAGAAGGCTAGATGACATTAAATGTTGTACTTTTAACTTCTGGTCCTTATTTGGCAAATGATGCAATACTGCACCATACTGTGTGCAATCAGGGAAATATGTGAACTGGTGGTAAATGAAATATCCTCAATCACATTTGAATGATTATTTAAAATTTAACAATTATTAATAGTATATAACTCTAGATATATTAACATATATATACTTGTTATACCCTATGTTATATATTTATACTTAATACTGTTGATTTGTGCACTTATTTACGTTTCTTTATACACATATTTTTTAATTATGTTATTTTAAAGCACCCTTTATGTTATTTTTATATTATTTTTGACTGTTAGGGTATAGCTTGTGCAATATTGCTATGATAGATTTATTGAATTTGTGCTATTTAAAATGCTATGCTATAATTCCATGTAATTTGAATAGATTTATACTTGTTGATACAGCCACAGTTCATATACAATGCACACAATTATGTGCATGTACCTCTTGATCCACTAAAGCTATATGTGATCCCGCACATCAAACCAGGTATTAAGTAGCATTTGGTGTATGTAGAGCTATTAATATATTTGGATTTCTGACATCATCAGCTACATTTTGATACCAATTCCATCTCAATAGCTTTCTCTGTTCTGAAGATAAAGTCAATTTAATATCCAGATTTGAGTCCCCTTTAATACTTCACTGCCAGATTATAACTGGGCAGTGCAACGTAATACCTGATGCGATGTGTAGGGTCACATATGTTTCTACTGTGCTATGCTCTTAAGTGCTTATTTATGTTAGCCGATTAACTATTGTGTTAAAGATGGAGCATACTGGCTCAGCATAGGATAGCCAATGAAATTGACTACCTCTAAAAAATGCTATAAATTACGTGCTATATGGTTTCAGTTAATCTCATTTGATCTCAAAAATCAAATCAAAACTTGAATATCATGCTGCTGTATCAAAGGTTATATATCAACTGACTTGTACAGCCTTGGAGGATCATGATAACGTACATCTGATCAAATGTACAATATGAACACATATCTATATTTTGAATGTTATGTACATACATTCATAGGTGTTTCTGTATCATATTTGATGTAGAATCCTAAGCATTATTTTGGAAGGCTGAGAATTTTTGCTGAAAAAATATCAGCTGCTGGCCAAATATTAATTTAAACGAATGAGAACCTGTCTTCAATCCTTCACTATTTTTCGTATTTGTGCAATTTATGCTGAATATATCAATAATCATCATATATATTTATATATAAGGCTTTAATTAATTTGTAATATAATATTATTTATTTTTTTCTCTTAGGCTGTGATTTTTATTTATTCTACTTTTAATTTAATCAGTTATATCTTTCTGAACAGTAATATCATATTAGTGCTAATAGTAAACATAGCAAAGTTCAATAAGTACAAATCTTCAATAGAGACTTTAACAATTTATTATATATTTTTTTTAAATTACCCTCTTAAAGGGACATTTCGCTTTTTTGTAGGTCGAAAAGTTTGTGCTAAAATTTATGAAAACTATACACTAAAATCTAGAGAAATGTGCCCTTTAACGTATCTGAAAGTTTTAACTAAAAAAAAAGGCCGTTAATTTTTAAAAACATTACGTAAGGTTTTTAAGTTTATGCTCTTTGGAAGCTGTTAAAAAACTACTGTACGGATTTGAGTAAAATTATTCAGTTTGTCAACTGCGTTTATAAGCCAATAATGCTAGTGAGTTTGTCTCACATGTCCATAATAAATTCATAATTAGCTAAATTAGAAGAGAATAACGAGCAGAATTCCAATGAGTGAATAGTTAAGGTCAAAAAAATTTTTTGGTTTATCCAGACTGTACATACATGGACTTTTACGATTGGTTAAAACTCTTAAATATATGCAATAAGAACATAGTGATATGATACATGATAATTCATAAGAAACACCAATTAATCAAATAGTTTGCTTAATTTGAAACTTAAAAATAAGGAAACCTATCTTTAATATACAAGCACTAGGTTTTCTATTCTAACACCTCTTACCTCAATTTACTTTTTTCTCTTTACTTAGTCTTTTTTTTTTGTTTAACCTTTTTTGAACTTCATTCTATGTGTACATATCATTACTTTAAAGGATATAATCTTCTAAATCGTTGCCTTGATTTCTTGAAATTTTTTTTTCATCTCCATCCAACTTTTTGAAAGTCTGAAATTAACTTCATCTTTTGTTTTTTTAGTAGGTACTTTAGCCTATCTATGTGTAATTTTTTGTATGATGGTCTACAGTGATCTGATTGGTAATGCAATATTTTAAGTTAATGGTATACACCAGGGTTTCTCAACATGCAGTGCCTTGCCATTTGTAACACTGTAAAATATTGGAATATAAAAAAAAGTAAAATGAAAGCTGCAATCTTCTGTTTTCATATTGTTGTGTGGAAAATACAATAAAGAATCTCGAGTTCATGTAGGGTTGTAGGTGTCCTGACAACATTTTTTTCAAATTCAACAAGTAAAAGATTCAAAATATACACAAAAATAATCAAATTGAAAATTTGACATATAAAATCACACCCACATGATCCAAAAATGCTTGATGTTTGAAACCATGTTTTTGGGGCTTTGGCAATTCCAAATTTGAAAATGGCGCTTTAGCAAATTTACTTGAGAAACCTTGGTATACATTATACGATTGAAAATCAGATGTGGAATTAAATTGTATTATGTTCATATGATTGCATGTCACATGACCATGTTACATTACCGATGGATGGATTAGACCTTTTGGTTTCAAAATTCAATTCAGATTTTTAATTTTGTGCTCTGAAATCAAACACAAAGATTTAAAAGATTATATCCCTACAAAGAATTTATTTGTGCTGTGAAAAATTATTATTTTTTTAAATATAAAAGATAGTTTTGTCAGGATTTTGAAATGATAAAATAAATACTTTTGTAAGAAATATATTGTTTTCAAAGTTTGAAAATTTGTTTTGAGTAGTAAAATAGAGAGGTTTTATCTCATGATAAACTTGCTGCAGCTGTATCTATTAATTAGTGTTGGGTGTTATGAAAGATACTCTGCTATAGAAGCACTGGCCAAGGTCACAAGAAGACATCAATTCTCAATAATTAGTGCTCAAATAAATGAATAACAATGTGATTCATAAATCACTCAAAACCTAACATTTGTAGGTTACTTTGTAATTGTTACTTTGTAATTTTGTATCTTTACATTCCCTTCAAATAATACATGCTAATGATTTTATGAAAAAAAGAGTATTGGTGGTTGCTTGAGAGGCAGGGTAACACCTGACACGACTCTGTGATTGTGTTAGATGATGATAACATGAGAGCATTGGCCTTTGTCACAAAGTAAAGATTTATGATAAAACAAGGTGCAAGTTAAAAGTTAAGATAATTAGATATGTTAATTAAGGATGTCTCTGTTATACTATCTGTGGTAGTATCATTTCTTCAACTGAAATAGCTGAAAATATAAGAATCAACGTTCTTCTGATATATCAATAGTTATCTAAAGATAAATCCTGTAAAATTGTCATTTTGACCTTAATATTAAATATTGTTTCAATTTAATGACTATGGTTTTGAGTGTGAAACTGTTACAGCATGTATTGTAATAACCAGAATAATTTGTTGACACTTTGTTTTTGTTTGTGTTGTGTTCTACTGACTTCTACTAATCCAGGTAATTTTATGTTTATCCATTTTTTATTTGAATGTGCATGTTTTTTTTGGAGAATAATGAACTGTCACTCAAATTTATACAACTAGTTTCTATATATTATTCTTAGTTTTGAATTATTAACCTGAAATTATGGATTAAAAAAAAGGGTCTATTGATATTGTTTGGTACTTCAAACAGTATTCTGTCTACCAGCTGATCCTTGACAAGACCTCTTAGCATTGATCTTTCCAGATTACACATAGTATGTATTCAACTGGGTTGACTGGAATAATGAAGAAAGATGACTTATTCAAGTTCATTAGATGTTCCCTTACAGCAATATTAACATGGAAACTAGTTTATATAATTGGGTGACAATGGGTTTATCTTGGTTATTGAATGATTATTGTTCTAGATACATACAGATACAACTAACAGATGGTAGAACAATTAAAAGTTTAAACACCCACAAAATTTACCTAAAAGCGTTTTTATGACTTGATTAAAAAAATTTATTTGATGAAATAATTATGATTGTCTCTGTTTAATCTGGATTGTGGAATATAAACTTTTAATTGTTTGTTTTTCATGTAAGGGATTCAAAAATGTGTTTTTCGCTGTGTACATACAAGTATTATAAACACCTATAGTTATAGCTTAATCAGAATAATGGAATTATGATCCATAACTATTAACTTTCCCCTCATGCCCCTACTGAGCCTGAAAACATCATTTCGAATCCCTTAGATTTGTCTCTCGTACAGACTTGTTGGTCCTTGATGTCCCTTTCAATCTGTGTTAACCTTTTAAAAATCAATATAGGCTTCTACTTTAGATTTTTCTTCAAAGTTGCTTTTCATCTTTTTTTTTGCATCTAGTTTTGATTTTATTATGAGGTGTAATAACTGTAGATACAAGGACTATTTTTTGTGAAAATTTGTTCCGTTTTGAGTAATATGGTTTAGTCATTGTTAGTTACATGATCACCTGTTTTGTAACTACTTTTGACATGAATAGAGATTGAAAGGGACTACAAAAACCAACAATTGTATAAATGACTGCCCTTAGACATGTACAATCTAATTGATGGTGGTGGTTTTATTCTAGATTTTGTTATAATTTGCATGTTTAGATGGTTAAGGTAGTATGTTGGTGTGGCGTTTAATTATGGCTAATAGCTGCACATGTACCTGTATGATAGAAGTGCACTTTTTAAATCTTTGTATTTTGCACACTACTTACTGTAACTCTATAGATATTCCAAAATATGCTTTGTGAATTACACATTTTGAGATTATTATGCAAATTTCATTTTTTCAATGAAAGCTCTCAAATATATTTTCTTTTTTTTATAAACTTAACAAAGGAACCATGCATACCTGTGATAAAGGTGATTGGGAATTCATCTTTAGAATGATTTTCACGTTTTATTTTAATAGTTTATAGTTATCACGGTCTGTCAGTCTAGTCTGTCTGTTTACTCAAGATTATGTTAATTGTAGGCCTATTGCTTAGAAAAATTTGTATTGGTTCTTCTATCAAAAGGTAGTTCATAAAACTTTATTTCATTTCAATTCACATATCACTTGTGAACTATTATCTAAACTCTTTAACGGCTAGTTGTTTTGTTTGATTGACCAACCACCGAAATAAATTTTAAATTGTCCAGTATTTCTTCAAATCTTGAGTCAGGTCCAGGGCTGCTGATTTTTATTGGCAACCAGACATTTTTAACGGTTAATGACAGTATGTCAACATGATGTTTTTTTTAGGTTCATAATTACAGGGTAATATACTTTTAAGATGTTCAAAAATCTGGTAACTAAGTCCCATTTAACTTTTTTTTTTGGGTTAGATTTGTTTTTCCTGTTGCTTTTTCATTTATTGTTGATGTCAAGAATTTTTTTGTAATTTTGTATTCTTTGTTTGCTTGTTCAAATTTGTTTACAGAATTTTCATCAAAACCGAAATATATGTGCTAAATCAAAATAATATTTGCAACAGAGTTCTCTTCAGTATATTCCTAAGGGAGACTTGGGTCAACTTTGTCACTGGCATTTTTCAACAGCAGCTAGTAACTGGCAGCGTTTTGGACAATCTGATCAGTTGCAGGATTTAATTGAACTGAGCCCATTGGCATCATACAGTGTCAGATGATATTGAATATGTATCATTCTACTTGTTATTTCCTTTCTATACATGACCTCTATATATATATCAATTTTCAAATCATATACTGCATGATTAGAAATTTAGACCCTTTTTTTTAAGATCATTCTAAGAACAAATTTTTTATTATCATGATTTTTTTTTTAATTTATTCATATATTATTTCTCATTTTTTCACCTGTTATCTCTTATTATACTTTATTTAATGTGAAATAACTGGCAAATTATTAATGACAAATATTTTCAATAGTGTATCAAAAGTGTATTTCTATATTTGCAAAGATGATAAATGCTGATGATGATTATTACACATTAGGCTGGATCATACAAACTGTGTCATACAAAAATATAAAAAAATATTAAATCTTTATCTGTTTTTATCACAATTTTCAAAATATGTTCAACAAATGACACAGAATTTCAGATTTTGAATAATGAGTATTGGTCTTAACGTCATATATTTTTTTTACTTTCAGACAATAGAGAGTACTCCTACTGACGAATCTGGGGGTTTCACATCACAACAACGAGAACGAAGTACCCCTGATAAAGGTTAGTAGACTTTATTTTCCAGTCTTACGTCAAAAATGTTCCTATAATTTATTTATTCTGCATAGATTTAATGAATGTCTTCAAGCAATGTTCCGTTTATATTTTGTCACTTTTATGACCCGCTTCCATGTATTATTGTATTTCCACCATGTTTTTTCTGATCTAACTCAAGGAAGAAGAAAAGTGCATGAAACAACAATTTAAGCTTGATTTACTGGTAAAATTACATTCTTACAACAAACGATTCCTTTAACCTGCTCTTATAGGGACAATTTTTTTTTGTCTAAAAATTATAGTGCTAGATTTTATCTTTATCATATATCTATATACATAGGCCAATGTATGGAAGAGTCTTGGGGTAATTTTTTTTTTTTTACAAATATCTGATTTAGTAACTGGATAATTAGATTTAATGACTCTAACAAATCTAAATTAGATCTTGGACAATCAAGACTGATTTTCAAGATTTTGGATTTACCGGTTTATATTTCCCAGTTAAGCAAGTCTAATTTTTAAGTTACAAAGTTAAATTTTCAAGTGAAAAACATGACCGCTGGACAATTCCATACCATTGTGATCAGACTATCTTATGGTTTTTAGCTTCAACTGACTAACTAGGTTTTGACAATCTTTCACTATTCTTTTCTTCCTCACTAACAGAGAAAAAGAAGAGTTCATTTGGAAGTGCCCTTAAGAAAGCATTTGGTCGTAAGAAACGAGCACATAGCGCTGATAGAGATACCTCCAGTTATAAAGAAGGGCGCTATCTGAAACCTCCAGAGCAAGCATATGGCCCTCAATCAAAAGGTTCTTTGGTTTCCAAATTTAGATACAGTTGTTTTATTTAGTAGCACTATTTTGGTTTTGTTTTGATTTTTGCCTGGCTTACTTTGCCTTATAATCAGTTAATAATATCTATATCCATCTGAGACATCTTTGCATATAAGAACTTGTTTTATGTCTAATAAAGGGGAAATCTAATTGTCTGCTGAAAATGTGCAAATTAATTTGTTGTAGGAATGACCAGCTGGAAAAATTTTGAGCAAAACACTTGTATATTTGGATCCCTTTCTATAAGAAATTTTGTGCCCTTCTGATGCCTCAGATATAGAAATTGTTGACTGAGTATATAAAATATCTTTAGTTTCTTTTTTTGTTGTTGTTTATTTTGCTTTTTTCACCAACAGACATTACAGCTTGAAACAGAGTTCAGAGGTAATGATCAGTTGCCCTTTATCCTACCTCATTGACATTCAAACATTCAATTAATCATGTTATAAATGGGTCTAATGTATCATACAATTCAATTTAATCTTTCGCTATTTTTAATGTTTGATTAGTTGCTTGATCAAGATTTGAATTCTGCACCGCCGCAAATGTTATTTTTAAGTAATATTCATACATAATTATTTACCAGACATTTACATTGGCTACTACTGTTCAACTGGGATTGTCAATTGATTTAACACATATCATACTCTGATTCATCCTGTAATGTCTTGAGAAGTTTAGACATTTTCCTTCAATAATTTACCTGGGCCATTGCCATTATTTATCTAGATCTATCCTGACTGACTGCTAAGCTATTCCTCAGTACCATTAGTAACAGGTCATATTTTAGTTGCCCATTTTCATATGGTAGTGTTTAAACATGTTTTGTCTTGTTGTGAGTTACTTATTGTTACTGACTCATTCTGGAGACAAAAACCATGCTACTAAGCATAGGTCTAGTAATTTAGTAATGTTGTTCTGGTAAATATATCATTCATTACATCAGGCTGCTATACAGCGTACAGTTCTAAGAACCTATAATTTGTGTAATGTTATAGGAGTTATTGCCTTTGTATGTGTATCAGAAATACTTATTTTATCTACATTATTCCAATTTCCCACTTCACAAGAGTGAGCCTTTATTTACTTCATATTCTCTGGGCATTTTCTTGATATGCTATGTTTTATTGATATACTCTTAGTATTTTTGGATAAATTTCTTCATATACTTTTAGTATTTATTTTATATACTCTTACTACTTTTTTTGGAATACTCTTAGTATTTTCTTGATATGCTCATAGTATTTTCTTGATATACTCTTAGTATTTTTCTTGATATACTCTTAGTATTTTCTTGATATATTCTTAGTATTTTCTTGATATACTCTAGAAAATTTCTAAATTTTCTCTTAATGAGTTGGTAATTTTTGATATTCTTTTTTGTAATTTCTCTTAATGAATTTGTATATTGTTGTTAATCACATGGTATTTTGTAATTTCCTTACTATTCTGATAGTATTTCTAGATAAACTCTAGTTAATATTCTATATAACATCTACATTATTCTAATGTTAAAAAGTGTTACAGAATTAATTTTCATCCTCAGTTTTTTTTTCACTTGTGTTTTAATACATAGCATCATGAGATATATTATATAAATTGCACGAAATTAATCATACTTGCATGTCTTAATTATTATTTTATTAAAATGAATTAAATTTAGAAAATTTTTATTCCTTTTACTTCAAAAGTGTGCATGCTTAAAAACTTTATTTTTGTCATATTTGTTAAGTTGCTACTGCTTATGTAATTGTTTGAACTGCAAAATACTAAGGATGGGGTAGCAGTGAACAGTGAATTAAGAGAAACATTATCCTAATGCCTTTGAAATTTTTTTATTTTTAAATATGTAGGTTTAATATCAGAAATTGAATGAAATTTTATTATATTGGCTTTTGTCTGTTTTAAAGCATAATTAGGTGTTTCTACAGGCATAGGCTAGTTTAGTAACTATCTGCATAACAACACATGTAGATTGATATACTGTATATATATTTATATCTTCTATATGTTTCAGATGATTTGGAATTAGTCCGAGCCAAAGGAAATGCCTCACCAAATCTTAAAAAATCACGATCCTTGGGAGGAAGCTTAAAGAAGTTATTCCGAAGAAGTCGGCGAAGATCCAAATCAAGAGACAATTCAAGAGACAGCTCCTTTAAAACCACAGGGTCACAAAATCCGTCAAGAGATAGTTCACTTAACCGTTCAACAAACAGATCATCAATGTCTTGAGAGGAACTGTAATTAGAGTTATCTTCCTTTTTTATTTATAGTCTTAGCTTCTCCATCAAAGTGTTCAGCTTGATACCCTGATGTTCATGTCTATAAGTTCAGAAAGTTTTTCCAGTAACTATCCAGTCTGTGAATGTGATTAGTAAATATTAAAGTCCTCAAGAACCAATAATAAGCTTTTCCCTATCTCTTGACTTATTAGACATTATGAGCCTTTTGTTAATGTGCCACCTATTAACTAAATGTTGGTTGCATATAAGTTATAAACCTGCACAATTATAAAAATGTTGGATTAATGTCTGTGTTAGAATTTTTTGATAATATTTAAAAAATAAGATATATAAAATTGTGTATATTGTCAGACTATGAATTTGAAGACAATCTTTTCCACATGAACCAAAATGGTCAAATACAGATGATAACAGTAGGCTGTTCAGTTGATGCAGACTTAAGTTTTAATTTACCAAAAGGAAACTGGTACTAGATAAATGAAAAAACACTGAAAAAAGTACAGTAATCCTGATCTGCTTTTTGATCAGACTGGTTTTCTCTAGATTTTTTCTTCAGGAACAGCGCTAAGTCTCTGTAGAGAGATCGAATAAGCATATATGACACTAAACACAGTTTTTTTATTACTAAAAGATTAGATGTTTATTGTGAGATCGCTCAATTGTTTATGGCCAATATAATTGTCTTCATTATTAATTATTATTATAAATTCAACATAATATTATATTCAATTCATAATAATGGCATAATATAAAATTTATATTAATATTGTCTTTCTTCACAATTAGTTTAGATTTTGCGCCTGGAAATATTTATTTCATGCTTTAAAGGAAAGTTTAATCACAAGCAAAATTTCTTTACCCATATCATCAAAAATGTTGTACTTGTGGAACTGCGGATTTGTCAAATTTGTCTGTGGTCATTTGTATTTTGATAACTACATCTTGGAATAAGAGAAAATTTGTTTTGATACAGTGTGTATTTAACACAATTTAAAACAGAATTATTGGATTTCCAGATAAAGCACATAAGCTCTTCAGATATGAATATGTTAAAATCTACACCCTACCTCTAATATTCTATGCTAATATTTGATTGAAATTTGTGTTGAAGAAATTCCCAATGACTAACAAGATGAATCATTAGAGAATGAAGAAACATAGAGAAAGATTGTAGAGTGTGTTCCTATGTAGCTTAATTATGTACAGAAAGTTTCTATTTATAGAATTCATCTCTTTGTCAACATGTAGACATCTGCCATGAAATTTAACATCCCAAAAGCTAATATTTTTCCATGGGTTATGGAAAATTTTGTGTTTATTTATTTAAATCTTTATTTGTGTCTCTTTTGTTTCTTTGTATTTGTTTGTAACAGAAAGTTCAATTTCATTTACACAAAAAGAACTATTTTTGCAAAATTGGACATAGGCTCTAGTCCTTTCATCAATTACAATCTATAGTCCTGTTATTACAAATTACAAACTATAGTTTATTTTATTATAAATTACAAACCATAGTTCCAGTTATTACAAACTATAGTTCATGATATTATTAATTACAAACTATAGTTCCAGTTATTTCAAACTGTAGTTCATGGTTATTATAAATTACAAACTATAGTTTATGTTATTATAAATTACAAACTATGGTTCCGGTTATTTCAAACTGTAGTTCATGGTTATTATAAATTACAAACTATAGTTTATGTTATTATAAATTACAAACTATGGTTCCAGTTATTTCAAACTGCAGTTCATGGTTATTATAAATTACAAACTATAGTTTATGTTATTACAAACTATAGTTCATGTTATTACAAATTACAAACTATAGTTCATGTTATTACAAATTACAAACTATAGTTCCAGTTATTATAAATTACAAACTATAGTTCATTATATTATAAATAACCAAATTTGGTTTGTGATATTACAAATTAAAAAGTATAGTTTATGTTATCACAAAGTATACTTCCTGTGATAACAAATTACCATCTATAGTTTTGTAATTGTTAATTAATCAAGCTGAATGTTTTTTTTTATTTAATTATTGTATCACAATCATGAGCTGCTCAAGTCATCTGGTATTTCTTTATGATTCTCTTGATGATTAAAATAGGTTTACTCAGTGGTTCACTCAGTGGTTAATTCAGTGGTTCATTCAGTGGTTAATTCAGTGGTTCATTCAGTGGTTATCAAGAAACTCATTCAGAAATCACAGCAGTAATTTATTTATTTATCTTTTTTATGTTTATTTTTTTCATTTTTGATAAAAGTTTGGAAATTTTATTCAGTGATATAGAGGGTAGATTTTATATTTATTTTGGTTTTCTTTCTTATTTGTTGTTTTCTTATTGTATTGTTAATGATCATAATATGATGTTATGATTTATAACTGTATCTTACTTTTCAATTCATATCCCAGTAAATGAACATTATTATTACCAGTGTATGTTAGTGTTTTTCTCTTTTAAAGGAAGCCAAGCATCAGATTGGTTGATTTAAGCATGAACTTTTGTATTTCCTTTGGTTTCCGTAAAGTTTACACACACCACAAACCAATAAGACTAAATCTTTGAGATCTATTGTCACATTATGGTATTTAATAACAATTCATGACAAAAAAAGAAAATTTCAGGTAGAGCCTTTGCCTGAATATTGATGCTTAAAGAAAAATTTTTTTTTTGAATATTCTTAATAATGAATATAATGTTCAACATAAAGAAATTAGATCTAGTAGATCTATTGAAAATCAATGTGTTTTGTTTGAAGAATTTATGTTAATAATTTGCCAAATATCTGAGCATTATAAATAAATGTATTTATTCCAGTGATAATGTTTGAAGTGCCTAGTTCTCTAAATACGAGTAGTCTTTACCTGTTTGGATATTTTTGAATAAATGTAGTAATAGTGTAAGATTATCAGTATTTTAGTTATTATTAGGTATTATTTAGTTCTTAGATCTCATATTAGTTTATATTACTGACTTTTGAAATTTTCTCAAATGTGAACTACACCAACAGATTATTATCATTTAGATACTTACTTTGTAAAGACCACTTGCTACTCTTCATTCAATTAAATCTTCTAATTATAAATGTGTTTAATTAATTGATTATTACTTTAGTTGCAGTGAAAAATTAATTCTAAACACATATCCAAATTAAACCCAAATTTGATACCTTTTAACAAATGATGTTCAAAGCAAATCTCAAAATAACTAATAATTGTTACTTTTTTAACAAATTATATTGAAAGTAAATCTCAAAATTTGTCAGTTTGCTTTTAGAAGATTTACTAAACTTCCTTTTTATTACTGTTTGACTATTCTGTTTGTTAAAGTTTGTTTATGATATTGATGCTCTGTTAATGTTTGTATTATTTGATACCACCTGAAAAATATCAGATCAAAATACCTTGTTTGTTTGTTTGTTAAAAATCGTGTGATAAGTAGTTGAATTTAGAGATATACTGATTATACCAATGTAGTTTTTGTAATGTAAAATAAAAAGAATTTTTGTACAGGCTTCAAATTTTTGTCGTTTATTATTTTGAGAACCAATTTCAAGGGTATTTTACTTTGGTCAATGACTTGCTAGCAATCAATGCCAATAGGTTTGGTCAAGGACCAAGTTATTTTCCTGTAAACATTAAAGTGATACTATGTCTTAAAATGAACATAAAATTTAAGTTCTCGAGAATGGTCAATATGAGTATATATTCTTCAGTAAACTTACCTGGTGTCATAAAGTTACAACAGAATCCCTGTAAAATCCGGAAAATTGATAAAAATCATTAATTATTGAAAAACACTTAATATTAAGCCTTTTTTCAAAAGTTAATTTCATAATGAATTCCATTGCTTTGGAAAAAATAAGATTTTGAATTTATTGGATTATATAAGGAAACTGTTATGTTATTTATGACACCAGGTATATCTACTGATGAATATATGCTCTCGTTGGCCAAGTATAAACTTTTATGTTCATTCTAAGAAATTTCTAAGGAAATTGGCCATCATATTAAGAATAAGTAAAGTAGTCCATAAAATAGTTTCTTTATCCCTAATATTCTTATTATCTTAATCTCACTAAAGTCTGTGTTCATATGAAATAATTATACAAACCAGAAATGAAGTCAAAAGAGAAATTTGCCAACAAAACCTATTACGAGCAGCATATTTTATTATGAGGCAGATTCAGTAGTAGTAACATGTAGGTAAACCTTTAAATGTGTTCAATAGAACATCTTGTGTACATCATTTATAATACATAAGTTTTTGCTCACTTCTTAAATCAATAATTTCATCAAAAGACAACATTTCTATTAAAAATTTATTTTGGATTCTACAACAAATAACAAATATAATTTTCTATAATAAAATAAAATTTTTCATCCCTGAAAAACATCTCAGCAATTCTTGGATCATTTTTGAGGAAAAAAACCAGTAGGCCTTAGTAGTAGTAAACAAATTACTGCTTTAAGCCTTTGTAGCAACTGCTCTACAATAGTCTTTCTTATGAATTCTTTCTTATACTTAATACACCCGGCAAATAAGAGCCCTTGAAAGAAAAACAGCAAACATTATGGCTTATTATTTTTAAAACTTCTGTCAAGGGCGCTCTGATTGACTGTATTTACTAGCGTACAATCTATTCAAATCACTGCATTTACAAACCTCTGTAATACAACAAAGGTGGCAATTGTTGTCAAGATTTAGAGGAATACTACATCTTAAAATGAACATAAGATTTAAGAATTTTTAACTTGGCCTGTAAGAGCATGTATATTCATCAGTAGATATACCTGGTGTCATAAATAACATAACAGGATCCTTATATAATCCTATAAATCCAAAAAACTTAGTAATTATCCATAAATATGCAATTAATATTAAGATTAAGCGTTTTTCAATAATTACTTAGTTTTATGAATTTTCCAGATTTTACAGGAATACTGTTGTAACTTTATGACACCAGGTAAGTTCACTGATGAATATATACTCATATTGACCATTCTTGAGAACTTAAATTTTATGTTCATTCTAAGACGTTCTATTACTTTAAGACGAAGTACCAACACGGACCATTGAGAATATGGGCTTACTTAAATAAAACTTGGAAATCACTTCATATATTTAATTTGAATGTAAAATAACCTTGTTTAGAACTGCATGTATTTTATCACCTTTTTTTTGTTGGATTATTATCTCAGAAGCAATAAATTAAAAAGTAACTCAATGACTATTTAACTCTTAGTAGTTTTGTTATTACACTGTTTTACATAAAACACAGAACTAATATAATACTTACTCAGAATATAACAAGCATAATTATGTGTGATTGAAATTATTATAATAAATTTACGTTATCTTACAAATAATAAATTTAAAAGTGGCAAACCATGCCTAAACAACCAATGTTGGTTCAAAAATACTCAAAAAAAGTTGAAGACCAGCATCAGTAAGTAAAGATAATATTTTCGCAGTCTTATTAAAATTAGCCCCAACTTTTTTTTTCTTTTTTTATTAGTTTTGTTTTTATAGTCACTTCAAAGTATGGTCTTACAACTGGAGTCATGACTATTTGTTAAATTAACCTTTTGACCTAACCTTTTTTAACCAATCAAATTTACTCCTTCTCCAGTGTTGGTGTTTTCTGATGCGATCAAAGGTGTATTTTCAGGAGTAATAGTCCAGTTTATCAAGTCCACTGCAAGTGAAAATAGAAAACACATCTTTCATTGGATGTTCTGAATTAACTCAGTTAAATTTGATTGGTTAAAGCTAATGTCACCAGCTTAGGACAAAAGGTTAATTTGACGAATGTTCAAGACTTTGATCCCTTGACCCTAAACTGAAGTGACTGTACTAAAAATAGAAACAAATAAAAAAATGAAAACGATAGTTGGGTCTAATTTTAATTGATGTTTTTGATATAAAATATATAGAAATATAGATTAATAAATCTGTCCTTTTTTGACTCTCCCAGGAAAAGAGTTGACACTGTTTAATAAATTATTAGTGCAAAAACTGATATACTTTGTAATTTTCTGAAATTTTCAGAGAATATCTTTCTGCAAAGTTTCAGGTAGCTTAATTGAAAGAGGGGCGACTAGAAAGTACACCAGTGCCAAAGAGATCTCGAAGGATTCACAAGTTTGTGGTTAAAGTTGCTTATTTGGTTATTCACATTTTTGGCTCTTTTAAGTTATTAATTAGTGGTATTGACATAGAAGATAACTCTGGAATAAAGCACTTTGATGGGACTATAAGCAACAACACTAACCAATATACCACCAATATTTCACAGATATAGTTTAATTTGACTTCTTATGACCATTTGCTGTAGAAAATCCATTCGGTTCTCCAGACATCTTATTGCTATGGCCATTTGTTTCAGAAAATCCATTTTGTTTTCCTGACCTCTTCATGACCTCATCTAATGGTCCACATCCTTCAAAGGCACTGGGGTTACGATAAGATCCTCCAACCTTATCCCACAGAGTAAAAAACTGTCCATAATTATAGGAATAAAAGAGATGATGGTCCGTGTGATGAGCTGAACCATTTATCACAGCTTTTAACAATGTTGGAACACGATAATCTCCATCATGTATCGACACTGTCCAAATATTCACAAATACAAACAACACCAAATAGGTTATTTTGTGTAGAGGAAAGAAAAACGGATACAAATGGTACGGTAAACTTTGAATGAATCCATCCAACGGATGAAAAGCGTGACTAGCAAATGGAGTCGTGACTTTCCATTTATGATGTAATTTGTGTAGATATTTGTAGACTTGTTTCAGATGTAGCCATCTATGTATCCAGTATATAGCCATATCAGTAAATAATATAAAGGTAGCAATACTCCAGACTATACCAAACCATCCTGTAAAAGAATCACATATATCATCAATTTCTGCTCATGATGGAAACTAATGAATATGGGTAATGCCTGGCATATTGCCCCCCCCTGAATGTTCTGAATAAAAGCTATAATGACTTCAACATTTTGTTTTATCAAAATCCTAGTCTGATTATCATTTTTAAATATCATACTTATAGCACCTACAAATATTAAAACAGACTCTGAAACATGTTTTTACAGAGTTTCAAGCTCTGCGATCTTCAGACAATTGACCTTTTTCAGCATACCTCCCTACTGAAGTTCGTCAAGTTGAAATTTGTTTTTGTGTCTGTACTTCAAGACAAGTTCAAATTATTGAATTAAAGAAATGCCTCTTTTTAGCTAAACACCTGATACAGGGTTTAGTTTTATTAGCGTAGGCTTTTGCTTTACAATCAACTGATGTGGATATTTTGCGTTTTCAGTTAGTCTCATTTAATTTTGCTTAAAAATATGTTACAGTTTCTGTTTTAATATTTCTATATCATAGAATATAGAGATTCTCACCATGTTTCCAATCATGTACATTATCATATAGTTTACTGTAACCTCTAATTTCCATAAAAAACATGAAAACTGTAGGTATACTCATCATTGGAATAGATTTACAGGCACATTCTATTTCTAGTGCTATTTGATTCTGAAATAACAGAAAACATAATTCAGTGTAGCTGTGGTTGGAGGTGAAGAATGTTTGTAAATTAAACCAAGGAACCAATAATAATCAAAAACATTTTGTTATCATTCTTTAGAAAAACACCAGTAAAAAAAATATATCAGCTTGCCAGCCAAGATAACATATATTCTGTAAATTTTGTACAAAAGATTGTTTCTGATTCTTTCCCCTCTTATCGATGCATTGAATTGGGTAAAAATAATTGTGATGTATCAGCACGATTAATTCTTAGTCCCCTCTAATAATGAATGACTCAGAATCCTTCTGTGTATATGAAATTGTATCATGTTTTCATTTTCCAAGTATGATTTTCACATCAAAATTTGCACAAATTTATTTCTGACTTTAAAAATTGAGATTTCACCTTACTTCTAAATGTTCTCAAGTGCTTAATAGTGACAAACTTGTTAGTTATTTTTACCAATTTCTACTATTTTTTCTCTTTCCTTCTCTACTAAATGAATCGCAATAAATCGTATTGTTGGATTGGTATAGTGTATATAGTGTATAGAATTGCAGCCCTAGTAAATTTACTCAAGTACTTAAACAATCCAAGAGTGTAGAATGTTTTAAAACAGGACTGAAAAGGGAACTATGATAATAAGAGTGACTAGAATTATTTTATAAATATCCTATTATCTTTAATGTTCTGAAGATTACATTTCTTTTTTACATATATTTGAATCACCTTAATGTGACCCTTAATTTTCATCCTTTATTTCTATTTTCCATTTTATTATCTTATTATTTTGTAAATATGTTATTCTAGTTGTATGTAGAATGATCCCAGGGAAGATTGCCTTTTGCAAATGGACTTCTAATAAAGTTATTATTATTATTATTATTATTACTCATTTAGAAAAAACCTCTCTAGAACTATAAAAAGTTAATAAAGCATGGGATCTTACCTTTAAAAATTGAGGATGTTTAGTCAATCTTCTATCATATATAAAAAAATAACTAAATGAAGCAACTATTAAATATAATAAATAACCACCAATATTAGCTATAACCAGCAGAGAGATAATCTGGCGGTATGGATCATCAGGTTTAAACTCAGTAGGATATATATATGGTGTGAAGAAATACTGGTCGCAGATGTTTAAAACCAAATCCATCTTCTAATCTGGAATTATTCTACCTGAAACACACATAAATAAGATTATAATAATATAATCCATTTCTAGAACTTAGTCAAAGGCAAAAAGCAAGAAAAAAACTGACATTAAGTGGTTGCCCAGCATGATACACCTACTTCCCTGATATATTTTCATGATATCGAAGGCAGTCGCCAACCATACCAAAAATCTAATTTGTCAGAGACAGATTTAAACAAACACACAAAATTTCATAAAATTCTGATATAAAACTCAAAAACTGTTCATCGAAAGATCGTCAACTTTGAACTTATCCCAGACCTCATTAATATAAATGATCACACCAAATTTCATTAAAATCATATAATAACTGTAGTCTCTGTTGTGCTCACAAGCAATTTTGATGTGTTTTTCCTAAGTCAAGGGCAATAACTCGAAAACCATTTAAAACACCATAACTATTTAAAGACATTGTGTAAGGTTTTTTAGTTTGTTTTGCTTTCTGGAAAACTACTGTACGGATTTGAGTAAAATAAACGCCTAATTGTAGAGAAATATGTCTCCTACATATTCTTATGGTTTCAATGAATAATATTGAGCCATATAAAGACAAACACTGCTTAATAAACAATTAGTATTCTCTGTTTTAAATTAGCTGTTTTAAAACAAATTCAGTTTGATCAAGTAAATACATAGATATAAATAGCATGCTTTAGAAATTTTTTTCAGGTTATACAACATTTTTGATATTGATAGTGAAATTTTTTTAGTAAAAAGCTGAATACTTTAAACTAAAATTATTAAATTTTATATTATAAGGTCCAACTCAAGATTAGTTTAAACTGTAGGTTACACTCTGTTTTTTAATTACTCATTTTATAACAAATTCAGGTTGATCAAGTAGATACATAGATGTAAATGGCATATTTCAGTTTTGATAATGAAAACTTTGCATGATGCCTTTTTCGAAAGACAGATGCCAAATTAGCAGACTATGAGGTAACTGATAAAGAAAAGGGTTTTAATTTAAGAATTCTATATACATGTCGACTGGAGTAAGTTACTTGTCAGACTTGCCGATTATATTCTACTTTCATTTTACGTTACTAAAATTAAAACTGATGAGACTGAGAGTGTACGAAATGTCTTGGGAAAAATATCATACATAATGATACATTTCTTATTAGTTATTGATAGATCGTAAATACTTACTTAAACACTCGATTACTAGATTCCCTTTTTTTAAAAAATGCGCACTTCTTATGTCTTTAAGGCGACTGTTTTACATATTCTTTATCAACATAACAGTTACTGATGATCACGATATAAATTGACCTATTTTGACCTTTTCAATACTAGCATTTGATTGGCTAACTCTTGTCGACTGAGATAGCCATGTCTGCTGTCAAGTCACGTCCATAATGAATGCACAAGGCCAAATCACGTAGGTTTTTTATGATTGAATAATTCTTAGTTTAAAGGCCAATTTTATTTTTAGACTTGTGGGGCATCTTATTTGAAATTTTCTTATTTCACAACATTAAAATTAGATATAGAATTTTTCGTAATTCCGTTTGGAGTTGCTATTGAACTTTTCCCTGTACTGTAGGCTACTAAATTGGCAATAAACTCATTGAATTTTGAAGAAAAATCCAACTTATGTTGTGTTCATTCCGACTTTCTCTGTGTAGGCTAATGTTAGTCTATATTAGATTCAGGTCATACTACACCCGTAGCCAGACTCGATTGTTGGAGGGGCAAGCAATACATTCTGAGGGGCAAAGGGTGTTTATAGTCCCAGTAATGGAATTGGTCGGTTCGGGTTGTCAGAAATTTTCCTTAGCTACAGGCCTGGGTAATATGAGACCCAGGCCTATTGTGTGGTGGAATTGACCCATTCTAGGTCTTGGTCTGGTGCTGCTGTTCTTGAAAAATTCTTCAAATTATACCCGGCGTTGATAAGCCCTATATGCTATCTTAATCTAAGCTCAACAAAATGTTAACTTGAAACAATAATTTGCTTACAAAAATTTGATACCTGACCCCTTAATCGTATAGGTATATCTATTACTATTCTAGTTTAATAGAGCGATATATTTTTTTAAATAATAAGTTTGAGTTACTTCAGTCATTTGGCTTATTACTTGGACTCATAATATTTTTATTTGAAAGCTGTCTAAATATATTTATTTTATTTTACGTGTTTGGATGCATATTTTGTAAGTACGGTAATTAAATATTAAGTGGCATTACTTAGGTTATCGGGATTAATATAACAGTTTCCAAAAGCAAGTCTTTTGTGTACAGATTATTTTACGTATTTCGATTGCTAGCTGCGACTTGAAATGAAACATATTACTTCATGTTGTATCTAATTTTGCTTTGACTTTTGTGGATGACTATAAAACAATGAATACTGAAGACATTCGAAAAATATGTGTCAAGAAAAAGTTGGTGGAGGCGACTACAAGCCTCGTACGATTTGATGTTGACTTAAAACGAGAAGAACTTAAAATCGATTTTCAAAGGAGACAAATGTTAAATAATTTTTTACGTGAGAAAGAAAGTGTGCTTAATGACTTTGTTCATATTAATGTGAGGACTCCAAAAAGTGGAATATCTTTTAGTCCATGTGTTACTCCATTACGGAGATCATCAACAACACTTAATGAATCCGATGACTGGATGCAAAGAAGAAGGTACATGTGTCTTGAAAAACCCACATCTTCAAGAGATTTATCTTTTGAAAAACAGATCGCCCCTCTCTCGAAGCCTTCACCTCAGATCCACCCAAACTGGTCCTATTCCAGTAGAAGCGGTCAGCTAAACCCCATAAACAGCGTAGGAAGCTTACAGTATGGAAATAAATGGGCCAGAAAGCACGAGAAGGCTTATGCTCGTCTTACGGATCGCCCACCTATAACTATTCCAACTATCAACCTTGATGGATCAACGGCAGTAATGCGTCCAAATTCAACTACAAACGGAAGACGAGTTCTTTTATCAGCCAAGGTTTCGTCGCGTCTGAAAAGGGCAGACGCAATCATGAAATCGTTACAATCAGTCTCGACTCTAGATGACGTAATCAATACAGACATCCGAGTCATACAAACAGACAATCTGTGAAATTAGGTGGGTAACATTTACATGAAATCTAAGCTCTTACTAGTGTACATCTTTTTGTTTGAATGAATATAGATTTTTTGCTACAGCTACATCTCAACACTGTATTAGCTGGATTTGAAATCCTTAAGAGCGCAAGTCAAATACTGTTACTGGATTTATTTATAACCTCTGCCACGATAAAGCTTTAATAAAAATGATTTGTTTATGACAAGTTTCGGCAATTATAATTGTTTTAGGTAATATATATTGGATTCAGATGTATACAGGATACAAGAAATCGATTTTACTTTATCGATTGATGGCAGAAGACGATCTCTCAAGTGGTTTATTATGGAAAGAAAGGAGTTGGCACAGCTCTATTACCTGGCGTTTTTGCTTGCTTTTATATTCTCTTTTTCCAGCTAATATTTCTATTTTTTTTCATTAGCCGCCTGTTATACACCAAATAGATATTGTAGATTATAAATTAAATCTGTAGAATTAGAGCATACATTTAGTATTGAGTGTTTAAATAGCATTTCCTCGGTCATGTGAAAATGATCTATAATTTTGTATGCTTGGTATCTTTGCTTGGTGCTGTGTTTAGACTTTGCACAATTCTCAACACCGTAACTGATATTCCATCTAATTTTTGTGATCAATAACTTTGTCTCTAATAACATACAATGATGTTCTTCTGCTTCCCATCAGTTTCAAATCTTTTTTCAACACGGTGGAATCCTCGAAATCTTAATCTTGCTAGGTCACTTTTCTGTCCACGAATGTAAAAAGTGCCGTCAATTTTTAAACGCTTTCGATAAAATGTAGGTATAATGTGTCAGTTTTTATACACCCACATTATAATGTGGTCGTATGTTGTCATCGCCCGTCCACAATTGGTTTATGAACACATTTGAGACCCCAGTTTTTATCTGATTTTAATTAAATTTGATGTGATCATTTATAATGATGAGATCTTGGAAAAGTTAAAAATTGACGATCTTTCGATGAACGGTTTTTTAGTTATTACCCATGACTTAGGAAGTAATTTGTTTGTGAATACTATAGAGAAATTAAAATTTTGACTTTACAGAAATTAAGTGTGATCATCCATTACATGTACAATGAAATCTTAGTCAAGTGAGGTGAATTTGACGATATTTTGATCAACGGAATTCGAGTTATTGCCCTTGACTCAGTAAAAACGCATCAAAATTTGTTGGACGATGAACGCGGTAGAGGTGACAGTTTATGTCAGAATTTTATTAAATTGTGTGTTTATTCAAATTAACAATATCTTACATAAATTAGATTTATCGTACAATTTTACGCAGATTGGTGACCGCTCTTGATATAATGAAAATGTATCTAGGAACTGGACGCATCTTGACATAGGACATTCCATAATGATACTAGATTTAGTTACCCCATCCAAAATCTGTAATTGAGAAGTTGGTTCCGATATGAATTCTTTCAAAAATTGGTGTTCTCTTCCCCTCTGTATCTTCTTACACCTTTTTATGACCATGTTCGTGGTGGAATATTCACTGAATTTGTAGAAGACCCAACTACAGTAAAGCATTTTATGCTAATGTAGTTCTATTTTGAGAAATTCTCTTTCCCCCTCCCTTTTGGGGGTTTTGCATGCCAATTCTTGACTAATTTTTGATCTAGATTTGGAATTTGACGTATGGAATTGCATTTCTTTCATCTGTTGTGAGATGAGAAAAATATTTTCTTGCGGAAGGACAATACTTAAAATAGTGACAGTCTTGCGGATGTTGATAAGATGTAGTGGTCTACTTCCAGTTTGGTAGTTCAACATTTTCATGGTCATGATATATTGAATTTTTGTCCAGAAACTAAGTATTGGCCAGGCTTTCATGTGACATATTAGAAAGTTTCCAACAAGATTTCTGGAAAAGTTATATAAGGTTGAATTTCGAGATTTAACATGGAAACAGATGGCAAAGGATTTACAAGAGTCCGTCCAGAAATAATAATTATTCTCAAGAGTTCTCTCCCATACACTGCTCTTCCGCCACCAATCATTGCACCATTTGATGCGAGTTGTCATTGACACAACCCTGCCATGCTCAGTAGATTCAGTAAATGTTTTTGGATAACTCGGGGAATAATCATTGCACTTGCAGGGGTTATGTTAAGAAACAGTTGGTAGAAGTCATCCTTGAAATGTTGTTAATCTGGAGCTGAATTCAGTGAGCAAAATTACAACTTCAGAGATCAAGCAGTCACTCTCTGTAGTGTATCTAGCGTTTTGCTCGCCCTGCCACCCCCTAACCCGTCTTACATTTAAAAAAGCACCTGAAAATTACACAACGTCGTGTTAGAGTGTACCTTGGAAAATCAAATTATTATTCTGACCTCTTTGTTGAGATTTGTGAAATATGTAAATGTTTTCGTAATCTTATTTTTCTGAATTGCTACAATAGAGGCGTTTTTCAATTATGTCAATTTAATAAGAAAAAATCCAAATACCCATCGATCTCAATATAATTTGAGCGGATTACAATTTTCTACTCAGTTTGGACATTGTTCCCATCATCTCAATACGTAAATAAATATTCAAGTCAATACATCTTGTCAAAGCCGGTAACAAAAATTGTTCACTGGAGAAATTAATTGACACGCAAGGGAAGGTAAGTATCACATAAATCCGACCATAAACAGTAAAACTTAACACGGTAACGGGTGTAATAAATTACGTTTTGCCATCAATTGTGCATTTGTGTCACAAGATAAAACAATGCAAACTTTAAGGCACATGCTGGTAATTGAATATCGATTCAAGCAAAAACTTACTCAACTCCCCATTAGCATTGGCATTGATCTTGTGATCAGATAATTTAGGACTTTGACTTTGAACTTAGAGTTTGGTCGTTTTGGTCATCCTTGAGGATCTTACCTGACTGCTCTATTTAAGTTCTGGTGATTTCGATGTTGAGTAAGTATTGTGTTATGTGCGTTGTATGTTATATGGCGTTATCCTATCTTGATCGGAGTGAACGACATTCCATGGGACATAAAATGATGCTCCATGTGTCAGTTGTAAATAATAATAATGAAAAAAGAGACGGCCAAAGGTTCCAGCAAAATTTCTATTGTCACACCACAGTATTCATTAGTTTGATCAGGCACAGAAAAGTTGGACGCAGAATTCCAATTCATTTCTTACTCATGAGACATTTTATATTCACAGGTTTAAGGTAGAACTATTATTCTTCTGAAGTAATTTCGCTCAGGGACAAGCAGGGTTATAAGTCATATTGACAAGAAATATTTTAATAATAATATAATGAATAATAATGAAAGCATTGACAAATATATGACAGATTTTACATTTGAAATATAGTTAAAGCACATATAAATCCATTTTTTATTATCGATATAATCAATGCATTTTCCACTCGTCGAGACTTCAGTCAGTGGTGTTAATGGAATTTTCATGTTGAATGTAAGGATTTTGACGCATTCAAAACAGTTTACAACCATAAACGTAGACAGCGGTCGATTTTGACCATGTAATGTGTCTTGAGACATTAGTGCACGACGTAATTTTTCCTTTCGTGTTTGTTGCCTCCCACCTAGAACAGGCTTGACAAATTGTTCGTCCCTGTAATTGAAAAAAATATATACTTTCATTGTCGATTGCTTAAGACCCCGTCACACCAGAAAGGCGTTTTTAATGCGCTGCTACTGCGATGAAAATGGAACAGGGCGTGTTAAGGTCGCCATAAGAGTGGTATAAGCGTGTTTAACATGCCAAAAATATGATGCATGCAATTGTCGTCACTCTTCGGCGAGACACGGGGTATATTTTGGATATGTTCAAAACAAACGCAAATGTTCAGCAACGTGTTGAAAGCACTATAGACCTAGAAGGTCGTCAGACAAGCGTTGTAACATCGCCTTGGGCGGTATAAAAGCGCATTACGCGCGTGGTAAAACGCAATAGGGTCGCATACTTCGCGGTTAGAGTTCGATTTAAGTTTGTAATTTATTAGGGATTTTTTCTCCCGTCTTCTTCACGTTTGACCGCGACTAGTACATTTCATGTCACTGAAAGATCGCAAATGGTCGCAGTCCGGTATGAAGGGGCTATTAAATGCTGCATGCAATGAGTAAATTGAATCTCCACAGGGTTTGAAAAAGGACATTTCGGTATGAACTCACAGGCTTACAATTTATTACACTTCATGAAAAGGTATGACAATATTTACAAACTGGATCTGGTCCATTATGTGTACCTCAGAATTTCGTGGTCATTATTGCTTTTATTCGATTCAGTAATAGCCTTTGTTGCAGTGAGAGCAGAGAAAGGTTATCGCTCAGATCTAAAAGAGATAATAATCAACTAGGTGGCTTACTCAGTAAGATGTAAGAGTGTGGGGCTCAGTTGTTGAAATATTATCACATTTGCTGCCCACTAATTGTTAGCTTACAATAATGCGTTAAAATTGTATTCCACAATAAAAGCTTCGACAACACAAGGTTTGAGTCCATATCGGATTAACCTTTTTTTTAAAAAAAAATAATGACTGGATTAATGGAATAAATGTGTGCTAAAACGCGATAATTTTATCTATTTCAATGACTTTCAGGATATTTAAATAGAGATTGTAGCAGTATTTTTTTTTGTCTTGAAACAGTTATAAGAAAAATTATCAATTTAGCTATGTGACTCACTGAAAAGGATGTCATATTGAAGCAGAGCGGAATTTAACCTGTCTTGCTTTGAAAATATTGTATACAATTTAGATGAAAACGTGTTTCCACTTTTTTTCACTCCTTTTATCACAACATTTAAAGGGACAGATGCGTCATTCTTTTTGACCAATCATACTTTAGTCTCATAAACGGGAATTTTTTTTAGCTAAGCCTATCAGTAATAGTGTTCACAGCTCACCGTCGAAATTTGAGCCTTCAAAGCCACGTGTTTCTAGAATTGTCCACGTTTAAATGTCAAAATGACGACTCGTGATATATAGATATATAGAAATAGTGAGTAAAATACCTAGTCTGTGATATTTTTGAAGGAATTGTGCGATTTCGTACATTTCTAGTACTTATGAAGACTACGTACATATTTTCAGGACTCAAATCAACCCTCTAAAATGGGGCACTTGTCCCTTTAAGAGTTACGTAAAATGCACTAGAACAACTAAATGCGAGGTTTCTTTTGAAATACAACACGAAGCGATGTTTGAGCAGTGGAGGTAGCATCAATCCTCTTCTGATGTCGAACCTGAGAGGTTTCACTAACTAATGCCATGGATTTTCCACTCCTCGATAAGGGTCCAGGGCAGCATTTAAATGCAGTAGCAAAACTTTGACGAAAACTTCGGTTCATGAAACAGTAAGTTATTGGATGAACACATGACGAAATGTAAGCCAGTAAGAGTACGAGTGCTTTCGTCAGCAAATTCAGACTGCTACGTATACTCATATAGTCCATAACTGTCCAAGTATTGATAATAAACAATGGTGTCCAACAAATAAAATATTCCAAAACAACAACACACAACATTTTTATGACGCGCTTTTTACTGAGAAGAACGCGCTGGTAATTGACTTGACGCAAGTTTTGAGGAGTACCATTCAATAACAGGGGATTCATTATATCACAACAACCAGTACCATCATCAGGCGTCTGGGATCCATTCACCCCCGATTTCTCTGTTTTAACTTGATTTATATTCTCATTTTCTGAAAGATAAATATACAGTTATTCAATCTCGTGATAAATCAACAATGAAATTATCATAATCTACTCCAACGTTCAAAAGGGAGAGATATGTAAAGTAGTATATGAGTTGCAATAATGTTTGTAGCTGGAAACATATTTTTGGAAAGGTTTACAGTAAGCTTCAAAATGTTCAGCAGTCCATTTTACTGGTATTAACCCTTTGCGAGAATCAAATCGCATCTTCCACGAAATTTACAAAACTACAGTATAAGAAAGACACAATTTATTTTCCAAGGATAACAACTTATGTTCACAGTTAAAGATCATTTCTACGAGTTGGTCCTTGGCCAAACCTCTTGGCATTGATCTATCCATACCCATTTACAGCTGGGTCGACTGGAATTGTGAGTGAAGATGGCATCGGACTATCACACGCAGATCGAGAATTGAACCCACAGCCGCCGTATATGAAATTATTATACGATGAAACATAGTAAATATGTATCTGTGGCATGCAATTCTTAAGCAATTCTTCTTTCCATCATCTAAAGGTAAAATGAAACTCTTCCAGTCCTTAAAGGATTTTAATCTAAAGTCTAGTCTCTTACTTGGTGCATTGTTTTTGTAGGAGAACCAAACGTATGGTTTTATTTCTGAAAACGACTGAGGACAGCTGAAATTGACGTCTACAAGGCGCTAAATCAAATATTGCAACGGCTATAATATTCATTTAATCTCCCAATATTATAGTCCTAATCTTGTGTGATAAGGTCCATGGTGATTTTTATATATAGATATGATAGTGCTGTCTATTATCCAAAACAAGATCAGAAAACCAGGAGAAGAGATCTATCGAATCATGAAATCAATGAGTTTCTTTCTTCAAGGTGGAAATGAAGTATGAAAACTGGGTTAGTTAGTCAGAAATTTAGTTACATAGATTAAGATTTCCGTCCCTAGATTGATTTCTATACCTTTGATTAAAAAATCGTTTTTGACATTTTGACATCTATCATGACTTGATTGATTAGGTCATTCTAGTGGGATGGTAAACTACGTTTATTGTTATCTTCACCAATCATTTGCTATATTATGAAAGTACTATATGTATCAAAATCATTTCAACTTGAATAACCTTCATTATGTGAATTTGTGAAGCCTGGTGATGTCTCATTTATCGTGTTGTAGGCAATCAGACTATTTCGGATGTTGAAAGTAATAACGTTTTGGGCCATAAACGAATCAAAAACTTCCTCAAGATAAAATTTAGTGTAATCCCCATCGTATCCAAACGACTTCCCATTCGTCATATGTCAAAACTCGTCTTCGTGATACGATGTTTTAACCCCTGATTTGAATCTGTGAACTCATCAGTGGCTTCTAAAGAAAACTTACATCATTACAGCAACGTTATATGTTGATACAAGTGGCAAAGCTTGTTTACTGTGCTCTTAGAGTCCTATATTCCGAAGCATCTTCCTTTCAGAACACCCGGTCCTATTACCCCAACACGATAGATAATGTAATCATCGCATATGGGTGGAAGTTTATTTTCTGTGCACACCATTAAGACAAATAATTACACCTGTCTATGGATTGAACTATTATCAGAAGGGTCGTTTCACCAGAAAATTATAGATAGACCGCATATTTGTGTTTACTGTTGTATAACACCTTCTGATTAGTTTGCTGCACGATCAGACAACATCTTCATAGAAACCAGAAAGTACCACGGAGTGTATTTCAAATGTCTTATTTAGACGGTATTTCAACATTTCTAAAATGGATTATTATTTCTGAATTATTACACACTTACCGAATGAAGCATGAAATGTCTCGTACTGGGTAACATCCTTCCACAGCTGACTTCCAATTTGGCCATACGAATAACCCATAATGCACAACGGCATCAACAATAATAAAATGTCAAGGAAACCGGTATACAGTTTTTCTGTAAGAAAGTCACTCCATATTTCACGGCAGGCATAGGCACCAGTGCTAACTTGTAGTCGCTTGGTAAATACGGCTATTGGTATCGTTATGGAAAGTCCTAGAATCCAGATAAAAGCCAGAACTCTATAAGAATGGTAGAGTGTCTGCCATCGTCTAGATTGTAGTGGTTGACAAATGGCGTAATATCTTTCTAAACTAATAGCTACCAGAGTATAGCAACTCACTGTTACTGAAACACCTGAAAAATATGAAAAGTTCACAATATTAAGGATGTCAAGCTGTATAGATATTTCACACGTTAGATGCTGTAGAATGAATACGATATTGTCAGCATGTACCCCTTTCCACATAGACTTGATGGTGCCCTGGGTACAAATGCAACCTGACAAAACAATTTCCCGTCATGTGATTGCAGGAAGCTCCCCCTTAAGAGTTATAATGCAACATGTGCAAGCCTTTGTACAATGCTCACTACAAGCGTATATTATAATCAATATTTAATAACAAGTTCTTTGATCACGCGAAACCATGTACCCGATTTTTGTGGTTATAATAAGTATGCCTCTAGTCAAAATGTTGTTTCTTTGAAGTAGTTATTTTTGTCGCGGTTAAGAGTGCTGCCAATCTGGATAAATTAAGGGGAGATTACTCTACTTGAGAGAAATTGAATTTCCGGCTCATTAAGACGTGTTTTAACCAACTGTCAAAGTAGGTGATTAACTTAAATGAAGACATTTAGGCGTGTAGAAATTATAAACATGGATCATTAGCCAAACATTTACTTGAAGTACACTGGCAACTAATAGTGAGTGTGTGTTGATCTTTCGATATATGACCTATGAAATTAGGGTTGCTATGTGATTTGCAGGAAGGTGACGACGCCTGTGTCGTATTGTACCCAACTCCATTTCAAAGAAAATTTCAAGATAAGTTTTTTCTCCAAAATGTGTCAGAATGCACCAAATCAATTCTATTCTGGATAGAAAACCTTCTCAAACCCTTTATCAATCCCGACAATTGTTCTCTTCTGAAGTCAGCCTTCCCTTTTTTTACACCCCTAGTTCCGGAAGGTTGGCGCGTGTAATGTCTTCATGAATAACACCAAAGAACTATCAAAGCCAATCCAACCTTGTTTAAATTGATCAATGTTGTCAGCGTCCCACGTCTGTGTTGTTAGAATCAGGTTATTGCAGTCAATTATGCAAATGTGCAAAAATTATATCATTCTTATTCTTAAATTAATGAAATTAGATAGTCAAAAAACGCAATGCAATTCCAAAATCCAATCAATGAGGAAGATGCAGGTTTTTCCAAAAGAAATTATTCAATACCGTACAACAAGACGTAAAAGAATCTCATCACGCTATTCAGAGGCGACTTGATCTTAGCAGCAATAACTCCTGATCTCGTGACGTCAATGCTACTGCAGCAAATATTTGATGTTATTTGAATAATGAAATTAGTCGCGACTATTATTATCAATATCATTTATCACTCTAGTTTCTAATATCCCGGCTTAATCAAATTATTAATCATTATTCGAGATGGATGCAAGTCTCGTTCAACAAACAATAAAAATATTGAACAAATCATGATCTGTTTGATTGAGTTGAAACAGATATCCTAGATTGGTTAGTTATATAAAGTACAATAAATTGTCGTGTAAATATGTCTTCGATTCTGTTCCATTAATTTTACCTGAAGCTCTCGGGGAAGTCCATAAATTTGTTATTAAATTTCTAAGTATTAGCTAGATTGTAACTAAAGAGGTGAGGAATAATCCCTTTTCCGAAGCATCTGAGAAAGAGGCATCATTGAAAGTACTTAATCTTAATGGTGTTTAACATGGTAGTATCTGGTAATGCTAATTATTTGGTTAAACTGCTATGTTCCGTCCGTTTGGCTCCTTGTCTGTTCTGTACCTTATGTAATACTTAACTCACGGGTTTTCTATCTTAGGGTAGTTTTGAACGCTTTTTGGTGGTAATTAGGCATTTTGTAATCTAGCATAAAATTTCTGGACAGTTCTAACCCTAGATGTTCTTTTCCGTATATATTCTTCAACATAATAAAAAATCAGGACATAGTACGAATTTGAAGTTTGATTTAACTACATGTAAATTCATACTTGGACAAACTCCCGTCATAACCTATTCGAAACCTAAAAATATGACCAATACTTCATTTATGCTCTAGAACCACCCATTGATGAATGGGCATGAATTGGAATGTCCTGTCAAAATGCATCTTCACAATGTCAAGCTACAACGAACTTTTTTTTCTTGTTTCCTCGACGTTTGTAAATGCAGACACGCATGATACAAGAAAAGTTCCTAATGATATCAAGCTGTGTAAAGTATCTATTCAATGTTATCAATACCTATATTATAAGTTCAAGGTAGAGAATACTCATTGGTAGTACGTCGATACGGTACAAAATACATAAACGTCCATCATTGACCCCGAAATGAAAAAGGAAGTTAATTGCGATCAAATGAAGCGATCATGATTAATTCTAGATAACTGAAGATGGCTGTGATAGGAAGTGATTTCTATATAATAATCTAAGCCGGAAATATTCAAAACGTACCTCGCGGCATTTAGCTGACTTTCAAATGGACTGGTCAATATCGTATGATATTATCCAATATCATTGAATATATTAATATTCAAAGTTGCTTGGAGCAAATGATTTGACCCAATTTAGTTAATCAAACTTTCCCAATAGTTCCAAGGCATTTAAACCTCAGCCAAAAACGTTTGTGGATGTGAGAGATATAACCTTCATCTAAGTAAATAGGATTAAATGAACGATCAAGTCGATCCTGCTACTTCTACTGGCGAAATTTATAACTGAGGGCATCTTGGAAAATCTGCTTCAGATTACGTCGACGTCTAAGATAATCGCAGTTGTCACCAGTTGTTCATATTCTACTTTCAAGTAAAACTTTGATGTAGTCTGATTCTGCGACCATCCAGTCATTAGCAATTTCTAACAGTTGTACATGAGCGTTTCTTTCATGTCTTTTGCGTTAGATCCGATGAAATGCTTTGAATCGTCAGTCGACTAGAGCCCAACACTAGACACAAATTCTGTTTAACCACACTGAAGAAATATCTTTCAGCACGTTATTACCCTCATATTCCTTTCATGGCTTTTAATAATCGTGTTCATATAGCCAATTTATTCATCGATGAGCAAAATATTGAAGAAAACTTCAAAGACGTTTCAGTACTTTAAGGGCATTTTAAGTGTAAAAAGATGACCTTAAGTCAAAAACAAATTATACCCGTTTAGCTTTGAAAATAACATAATTTAGAGTAGAAGCATACTTTTATATCTCTAACAATTTTGTCTTTTATATCCTTTTCTTTTTCAGCATTCATTTGATCAGCTCATCAAAGACAGACTCAACTAAAGCTAGACTTGAGGCGATTTTAATCCTCAGTTTTATTACAGAATACCTCAATGTACGGATTGCTTCAGATATTGAAAGTTTTCCGGTTAGGATATGAAACTAATTTCTTTTCGATATCGACTTCCCTGTTCTAATTTGGTTGGTCAATACGTTTACCAGATCATCATTTTATCTAACATAAAGATGGCGCCTCCAATATTGTACACACAGCTCTTGTTAAATATCTTTATGAATTATGTCAATATAAACTACATTAGGAGATAAACTTACTTTTCTAACCCCAGTCAATTATTGTCAGTAAATAGAACTCAAATATGGTGAAATGAAATTGTATAAGGAATGGTACCTGTGTTGAATTGTTCTTCGATTGAATTAGCTTACGTGTTTAATTTACCAACTCTGCTGGATTGCTGATAGCTCGACAAATTTGGCCTAAACTGGGTTTAGGGTCAGACATACAGAATACAGCCAAGGAGTATTGTTTTGTCAGAATTGTTTTGTCTGGTTCGTATAACTCCGTAGGTTAAGCCTACCCTCCATCGTGCTGGGCGCACGGTTGCTGAATGCATTGAGGTGAATCTGTAGGAACGAAATTTATTTCTTCTTAAAGAACAAGAAATTTCTTGCTCTTTATGTTAATCTGGTCGAAAAACAAAAATCAACAACGTAAAGGCTTTAACCAAAATTCAATTTTCTATGATAATCTGCTTAAAAAGGTGTTAACACATTTAATACTTCACAACAAAATGAAAAAAGGCTTCAAGGCAAGATGAAAAATAAGACAGTTTTCGAGACGACTAATTGAATTGATATCCCTATGTCCCCATCTTTTTAAATATTTCTGCAGTAGTATATATAGTAGTAGTATGCAATGATTTTCGATATTATAAATTGCTTTCATCGACTCAAATGTACTTACGATTTTTGAGTTGGGTTGTTATTAATTAGAATACCAGCTTCAAGTCAGAAGTAATATATCAGTTATTTTTCAAATCCTGAGGAAATAATTCAATTCATAGCTGGAGGGCTGTAGCTTCTTCTAACAATATATTTCTCCAACAATGCAACATTCAATGAGTTCGGAAATAGATATGACAATATATTACTAAACTAGGTTGGCCGACTTAACACTGAACTCATAATCTATAACTGGACTAGATTTTGTTACTAACAATATTTTACTCACTTACAGACTGCTACTAACAATGTTTTACTCAACTAAGTTGGCCAACTTAACACTGCACTCATAATCTATAACTCAACTCTTACGGGCTGCTACTAACAATGTGTTACTCAACAAGGTTCTGTTATTAACAATGCATGGCTCAACAAGGTTGTTACTAACAATAAATCACTCAACTATATTTTGCTACTAACAATGTAGTATTAAACTAGATTATGCCACTAACAATCTATTTCTCAACTTTAGGTACTTTTACTTACAATTCCAATTAGGTACTGCTGTTAACAATGTATTACTCAACTAGATACTGTCATTAACAATTTATATCTCAACTAGGTAAATATGGTTTAGTCAACTAAGTAATGGCACTAACAATTCATATTTCAATATACAGTTTTTCATTATTATTTAACTAGTTACTGATTCTATAATTATGTATTAGTATTACTGATACTGAACTACGCTCTGCCATTAACAATTATTACTCAACTTGAAAACACAATGTATTACTCTTCTAGATTTTGTTAATGACAATTTTTTACTCATCTAGATACTTGTTATAACATTGTATTACTCATTTAGATTTTGTTAATGACAATCTTTTGCTCATCTAGATACTTGTAATAACAAGGTATT